AGACGCCATAGACGTTAGACAACTCAATGTCCTCATCTATCGAAAAAACTGCATTTTAGCGCAGTTTGCTACTGAATCGATCGAGTCCGATTGTTTTTTTTTTTTTTTTTTTAATTTTCAATGATTTATTTTTAATGATTTTTTTTTAATTTTCTGTATGAACGAAAGATGAAAATGCCTCTTCAAAAATATATAGTTAAAATGAATGAATCTTTTGGTTTGGCAAAAGAACGAAACAGTTAATTAGTCAATAAAAATAAAAATGCTATTGATTTATTCTGAAAATAAAGTACAGTCGATTCGATAAAAATTATACTGAACACTATGGTAAACATTATCGATCTTTCAGTAAAATTTACAGTCCAGGACAGCAAACATTGACAGCCCACAACCAAAGAAAATTCACAGAAAGGATTGTAAATAAAAATTTACCGAATGGATTACCGAATGTTCAGCTGTTCCATATTCGGTAAAAAATTACAGTATACTGTAAAAAAAAAATTTTGTGTGTATTTGGAAAATTATGCTATAGAACGGTTTATATAATCCCAGATTTTCGCTAATGGGAGCGAGGCATAGCAAGCCTTTCGATTGCATAATTCTTCAAGTAGGAGGGACTTACAATGCTTATCTCTTAGCATTAAGAGAGGCACCGTCAACTTTTTTCCGTGCTAGGTACTAAAATTTGACTAAGCGTTGAAAGGGCCTACTTGCAATGATCGATTCTCTTCGTCGATTTTCTTTTTACATTGCTACAGTTAAGCGAAACAATTCAAGCTGAACATTGTATTGGGTCCTAAGTAACATTGACAGATTCTCCTTGTATCCCCTCGGCCATGTAAAGACATTCCCACGTATTTTCAGCGATTTGTGTGCTGTGTGCTAAAAGAAGCTTCTATCTAGCATCTAACACGACAAACACAACAAGAAACGGTTATGTACGGAAGCTATTAACGAAATAGAAAGTCGCCGAAGAGAATCGATCAATGTTATACTTAAATATTATCTGAATTTTGTTCAATGTAGTGGTGTGACATATAACAGGTTGTATTGCCTATCAAAATCAACAGCAAGCGCACCGAGATATGTTAATCCAAGTGAGTTATTAACAAAAGAGGGAATCGATCATCGCGGTTACGCTCTTATGCATGCTCACTGTTGAATTTGTAATCTGTGATAGATATGGAAGTCAATTTTATTCCCACCACAGAAACGCCCCGTGTTCTTATGCCAAATGATGCATGTGCGTCTACAAAACGCAAACAAAATCTTTAAAAAAAGATGTACCGAGAACTTATTGGAGGGATTTATGGCTAATCGTTCCCGATCAACTACGAAACGTTGCATAACATTGGTGCAAAATTGTGCACCCCGTTTTTGTGTGTGCATTGAAGTTGAATCGCTATGGAAACCTTATTTCTGATCAATTTCATTACCACATAAAAATTTCAAGAGCACATATATCAGCTCTCACAAAACTTATAGCTTGAGCTTGAGCTTGAGCTTGATTGACCGCCCACGGTTGCTACTCTGTTATTGCCAGATCAGCTGTAATTACACAGAGAACCAATAGACGATGCTTGGGACTAGCAATCATCCTCAATGTGTAAAAACTGGTGATCTTAAATTAGGCAATACCAGCGCCGGCCGCGCCCGAACACAGGTCAAGAAAGGAATGGGAAGGATTGTGTTGACATGACACTCGCTTTGATGGAAGCCGAGAACACCTCTGCACTTCCACGAGGAATCACTGGGATGTTGGATAAGAGGGTTGGGTTTGCAGCAGGGTTCGTTTTGGTAAACGATAAGCTGAATTGATGTCCTAACGATCATATAACGCGAAGGAGCTTGGGACTAAACCCACGGTCTTCTGCTCTGTAAGCAAAAACGTTTGCCACTAGGCAGACGAGCACCTTTTCAATCACCGAGTTGCTGTTATTACCTTGTAGACATATTAACAAATAAAACGATTGACGAATCTTGAATGTGGATGGGCCTGAGATTAGACTCATGATGTTCTGCTCAGTAAGCAAAAACGGTTGCTCTAAGGCCACCGAGCCCCTCATATCACATAATACCGTTGCTCAAATTTTTGTATCCATTCAAACCCGGAACCAACGACAACAACGAGTTTCGCAAAATACACGATACACAAGCGATTTTACCATAAATCTCTTTGATATGTAAGGACCTGGGACCGCGTTTTTCTGCTCAGTAAGCAGGCCACTGTAACCGACGATCTTTCAAATCCGAAAACTAAAAACTACGAAAAAGTACTTAGGCCTTCATTAAGTTCCACTTTCACACAACGTACAATGTTTCAATTAGCTCTTTACGTATTGTTCAGGCTAGGCTCTTTTCAAAAGTTACGCGAGAAATACGCACAATCGTCGCCTACTTCGCAAAACTGGTTCCAAACGACAACAAAGGCATAAGCAACGATGGATTGTTGAACTTTGCTGGCTCCGGTGGTGTAATGCACAGCAAAAAAAAAATGTAATATCGATCAACGTAATTCAAGCTGATATATGAAATAATGATGTAATTGTAATTTTGTAATTTATCATTATTTTATTTTGTTATTATTTTAGACCAAAAAGCAGACCTTATCAGTTCCATTAGAAAATAGGCTACGAGCTTTCAAATATCACACTCAACTTTACAATCCCTCACTACAATGTTGAATGAAATCATGCATCTGAACCTTCCAAAAGATCCGCGAACCTTAATGGCAACTCCCCGGAATTTAAATATAAACCAAATTGAAGATGGCGGTTGGTATTGGCACAACGGTCTGGAATTTTGCCTAAAATCCGTTTTAAAACATTTAACAAATCCACTGACAATTTCAATTAATATTAATATTGATGGCCTTCCGATTTACAAGAGCTCAACGAAAAATTTGTGGCCTATACTGTTCAATATTCAGGAATTCCCTGATATTAAGCCGCTCATCATCGGAATTTTCTATGGTACTAGCAAACCCAAAGACGCCTCTGAGTATTTGAATCCCTTCGTGGAAGAGTTGCTCCAATTACTGGAATCTGGCTTGGAAATAGATGGTAACCATGTTTTGATAAAAATACGATGTTTTATCTGTTACACACCTGCACGTGCATTTATCAAAGGTGTGATCAATTTCAATGGCAAATACGGTTGCATCAAATGTACCACTAAAGGCACTTATTCACAAATATCAAGAACAATGATGTTTCCTGATATCAATGCGTTCAAACGATCAGATGCATCTTTTAGAGCAAAGGAATACTTCAATCATCAACGTTGTGATACGCCTCTTACTAGATTTCCAATTGATATGATTGAGGATATTATTGTTGCTGATTCGTTGCACCTGTTGGAGTTGGGAGTCATCTATATCAGCTCTCACAAAACTTATAACAAAGAAACTGGAACTTCACGTTTGCTGCAATGCAATACACAAAGAGTTTCAATTTCATGAGTGATGTCACAACCGTCCAAGATTTGTGCCCTAGAAATCTTGAAGTGATAGGGAATATCAGCCATCATGATGGTCATTGTTGGACGTTTAAATAAATCACCTGAAGAAATCCCTACCTTCATATCTGATTGTAATTTAGGAACCAAATGTAATAGAATATGTGTTTTCATTTTTATGAGGTCCTAAATGTAACCAAGTTTTACTAAGTATGAAATCCAAAATATGTGCATTTAACTGAAATCATAGGTAACTTCTACTGTATTTTAAATCAATATCTTGAAAAGTGCACGAGGATTTCACTTTACAGCTTTACGTAGTCTACGTCAACCATGCGGTCGTGTCTTGTACACAACCCCACCGATTTTTAGAATGAGCTTTAATTCGTGACTGTTTGTTTACAAAAATAATTACGCCTTAATTTCAAAGTTCTCCGGAAATACCTACTTAAGATCGAAAGATTTCGTACAAAGTTTCATTACATTGTATGAAAACACAGCAAATTTTGAATCAATGATACCCGCCACTAACGGTACCAAAGAAACCAAAGTAATCAACGTTGAGTACCTAACCCATTTGCCGCTTCTGGTATGCAATTATACCACTCATCAAAGTCCAAGTCAAACCCAAACCACGATCGTCCAGCACATCATAAGTGAAAGAATTCCCATTACTCCAGTTTAGTGCAACCGTCTACGGAACATAACGTTCACACAGCTATCATCATCACCGTCCACACGCGCTCAGTCGCTCGTTCCAGAATATCCCGGGCGGAAGACCGGCAGAACGAGAGTGCAGCGCAGCGCATTCCTCAAACCATAAAATTCACAACGGAAAAACGACTACACACAACAACAACAAATTGCAAACCATAAACCACACCAACCTCCCTCGCCCAAGTGCACGCACATATCAAGAAGACCATGCGGTTTTCATCCGACCGATCACCGCCGCCCGGGTGTGTTCGCTCGCTCTAACGCGCGCGCTAAACCCGATCCTCTGCTCGCAGAGCAAAAAGCCGTATCTAATCTGCCTCCAGCAGCAAGAAGCCAGCCAGCCATCGTAGCCCCCCCCCCAGCTCCTGAGCGTCGTTGGCAGCAACACAGAAGCGAAAGAAGCCAAAACCTCAATGAATTATTCAAGTCTGGTGAGAGCTATCCACCCTCTGATCACGTCCACGTCCGATCACCGAGGGGGAACGGAGCGCGAGGGCGCGATAGCAGAGAAGAGAATCGGAGCGAAGGTAGCGGTATTTTCACCATCACACAAGTCCGAGGAGGAAAATTGAGCCAACCCGCTTCACATTTTCAGAGTCGCCGTCAAGCGATCAACATCGCCCGCTAGCTCGCGTCGCGTCGCGTGTTCGCTCAAGATCCTCTTGAGGAAAGAGAAGAATAAGACGAGTAACGAAACAAAAAAGTAAGAAACGAGAGCAGTTCCGACAATAACAATAATAAATCCCAGGAGGCGGTCGCAGGTAACGTGCTGCAGTTGTGAGGAAGGGAAACTATCCCTGCGCGAGAAGTTCTATAGGCGACTGCGAGAAGCTGTCGAGGGGTCCACCGATGCGGCGGTACTGCGCCGACGCAACCGCGGAAAATTCGGCGCACGCACACAGCCGAACGAGGTCCGGTCGCGGAAAATCTGCGGCTCGATCGCCAGCACGGGTGCCACTTGGGTGTCACTCTTCGCTCGCTCTTCAAACACGACCGACGTCTTAAGTTATTTGTCTCGGGGATGACTTGAAACTCTCTGTGTGTCAAGCAGACAGAAGGAACAGAACAGTTGGAAAATTTGCCTATTGGAGGTGCGTTCTCTTCTACGGTGCAGTGTGTGCACGGTGTGAAAATTTTCAAAGTACCCCGCTAAAACGGGACTTTGCCGGATTTTCGGTGTCGGATCGGCGCGTGAAAAAGTTAAAGTTGGATTTTTCCGAGGGGACTTAGCGAATTTTTTCCGTGCTGTCGTCGGGGGACTTTGAACATTTTTCGGTTGCGTCGCGTGTGATTTTCCCCGGACTTGGTGATTTTTTTTTTTTGGCGGATCGAAACGCACCGGGGACTTGGTGAAAATTTTTGTGGAAAATTCTGGAATCCTGGACTGGAAAATAGTGTGAAGATTTTTTTTTCTCCATTTTTTTTCGGAATAATTTGTGTGGATTTTCGATCAGGATCGAGTGAATTTTCCCGAAGTTTTTCATCGGTGAAGAGGAAATTTTAATGGAAAGTTTCCATTCTATCAGTTTCAGTCAGTGAAATTCAGCGGACTCATAACTCAAGGATCGAGGAAGCAGATCGAAAGCAACGCTCCCGGAAAACGAAGAGGATTTAGTTTAAGGAAGTTTTTTTTTTGTTAAGTTTTATAATTTATAGTGTTCACTTTTTTTGCGCCTGAAAGTTTTCATTTATAAAAGATAAGTGAGTGTTCTCTCAGTAGAGAAGAGAAAGTCCGTGTGCAAAGTGGATATTTGTCCCGAGAGCCAGAAAACGACCAAAGAATAGATAGCAAGTGATTATTCGGAAAAGCCTGGATATTGCAAGCAGCTTCAATCTGGATTAAGGAGCAAGAAGAAGAAGAAGAAGAAGCCGCAAGGATGCAACGACCTAATCCTAATCAGCAGCTGCAGCAAATCCAGCAGCAGCAGCAGCAGCAACAATCGTCGATGGTTATGCAACAGCAAACGTCCTCGTCGACGTCCTCGTCGGTTCAGCAGCAATCCCAGCAATTTATGAGCCAGCAGGTTTCCCAGCGGCAGCAATTTTCCTCGCAGCAGCAGATGATGAGCCGCACCGAGCAATCGTCCTCGGTCAGCCGTCAAGTCACCCAACAAAGAGGTCAGTTTCTAGCGACAGGGAATAAATATCGTCTAAAAAGTTACGAAATTCTTCCCGAGACCCACATTTTCTCTTCGGTTGGGCGTTGGTGCGAAAATTTTCCCTGCTTATATAATCGCCGTTCGTTTGGTCAGACAGAGTGTGAGGAAAATGTGCGTGGGCTGATCAAGTGCGCGCGAGCGCGCTCGCTTGCTTTTCCACTCACACCCACTGCTCGCCTGCTTGCTCACTCGCTTGCCAATGGACTGGACTGTGAAAAACTCGGTGTGAAGAAAAGTGTACTACTCTGCTACCGTGACTCATCTCAGTGGAACGATCTGGAATTAAAATATGTGACAGTTAAAATTAGATTTTGCGCATTTTTGAGCGAAGAACCATGGACTGTGCGGCGGGAAATGTGTGATCAGTGAGTGCACATTAGAGTCACGCGAGAGCTTCAACGGCAATCCAAGCAGCAGCAGCAGCAGCAGCAGGCCACTCTGTCACTAAAAATATGTGTTATTCTCGGCAGAGCGCGCGCGCTATTTTTAGTCTCGGTAGCGCTGTGATTTCACATTGTTAAAGCGCGCTCTGGTTGTAGATCGCACCAACACCAACCCATCCTAGTTGACGAGCATATAGGCAAGAGAAAAATTCCTTTCCCAAGATTTACGATTTTCCATTTTCCTCGCTTTGACAACCGACCGTGCGTCTCCCTCAATTTCCGAGCGTTTGAACGTCCTCACGCTTCGGTGGACCAAGAAAGAATGATGATGGGTAACTCATGCTCACGGGCACACAGGGTAGCTGAGAGCGGGCGAAAATGTAGCACTCTCACTCTCACGGGCGCCTTTTCGGGATTGTTCGGCGTTCGGAAGTGCGTGGGATGGCGAGGAATTTCGCCCGGCACTCATTTTCTTTCCCACACACAAATAGTGAGGAAGGGCTCACTAATACCAGTATTGACGAGAAACTATCTTTTAAGATGGCATCGTCCATTTTAACAAATGATCAAGTGTCATTGGCAAAGCAGCTGAACTTGAATTTGCGAGCAAGCAGTGAACTGGTGGGCATATTTGCAGGACTATTTACTATCAGCTAAACACGATTGTTGCGTTGTAAATAAATGTCTCTTACATCCAATGTAAGGATGGATTTATTGCATCTTCTGCATATGTTTCAATATATATAATGGCAGTTTTTGCAGTGTTTTTGTTGAGTTTTTTTCAAACTGCATATTTTTTGTTTAAAGCCATCACGGGATGATTTTCTAGACGCTATGCATTTGTGGAAACAAACTTTGTTTGGAAACACATAAATTGCCACATAACAAAATTTGTTCATGGTGCAAAACATTGCAAATTCTGCATACTAAGCATTTAAGCTAATTTCTTAGTTCAAAATCTGCAACCTCAAGCAAGTTATCCGATTATTTAAAATGCTATTTCAACTGATCTAGTTTAAATCAGTGATGGAAAAGATAACGAACATTCACTATAACTTGCGATTATAATCATTACAAAATCTAATACAGTGAAAAATCCATTCCACATTAATATTAATTGATTTTTCCAATATGATTTCAAAAATGTGCACTGAAATGTGCAAACGATAAAACAAGGAAATTTCCACTGAGAAATATATCGACGACTGTAGGGAGGAACCAGCTACGTATAAAATTGGCTTCCCAAGAAACAATTTACTGTTTCGAAAGCACTCTTCCAATGATTTCAATTCAGCCACAGTTTGAATAACCGTTAAATTTAAATGCGACACCCCTTTATTCAGCTTCCTGGCTGAAAGTCTCGAAAGTTGATTTTTAAGCTTCCCAACAAACATTTAAAGCTGAATAAGAGCTTATTCATGCAAAAATATGCTTCTTCTACTAAAACTTGGTTTATTCAGCTCTTAATCAGTTCAAATTGTTTGTTGCCACTGTAAAGTACACTTTGTTCAGCCTCGGAAATTCAAAGTTCAAAATAATCACATCGGAGAAGACTGCATTACATTTTGAATAGCTGTGTATTTGTAGATTCAATACTTAACAAATATTATTCATAATCCATTGGTTGATTGAGAGACTTCGCTCAAAATCTACTGAACTACTCATTGTTCGGAAAATCATTCTCAAATCTGATATAATATGGCACGCGAAACTCATGCTTGAGATTCTCATGCATTTTCATGCACTCACACTCACAATGCCAAAAAATCATTCCTAATCTAATCTTATCTAACCTAATCTAATCTATCACCAACATAGCCAGTTCTTGAAAGCATCCTGGAAAATGATGGATATACCTCCATCATTTTTCTTGTCTGTTTAATAAATGTTTCACATCGAAAATACGTCACACATATCAAAACGGCCAGGCATACTGTGCAGCATTTAAGGGGCAAGATGATTCAGAAAACATCGGGCCTGTTTAAATCGAAGATTTAAACACGATGCTGCAGAATCCAATAAGTGGAAGAAAGGTGGACATTTTGGTAATGATTGGTTGGTCGTTGGAAGCATCAAAGCTAGAAAGGTTATGTGATGCTCCATTTTCTTCTGACGGTTGGGACATGAGCACTAACTCTTGTCCTAGCCTTTTATGGCTTATGGCTATAGCGCCATTACTCGCTTTCTGAAAAGAGAAGAGGGAAAGGAAAACGAGAAGGACAAAGGGAAAAAGATTATGTAAACTCTATGAACATAAACAATATTTTTGATTTGAAATATACAACATAGAAATGCATAACGGCGGTGGTCACTACCCGAGTCTTTTCACTATTATCAAGTCATAAAAAATAACAATAACTTAAATGTGATCCTTGGATTACTGGAAAATCCTGATTCCCTAGTTTGAAGTTGTTACGACTAGGGTTTGGTGACAGATTTTATACCAGTAACGCACCACAAAAAAGTGATCTCCCAACGTTACTGGTTTGAACAGATAAAAATTTACAAAATGGAACGAACTCACCAAGTTTAGCCAATTGAACCTGAAGGCAGCCTGACATGTGTTGATGTAGAAGTCCAAATTGTAGACGAAGCTTGACCAAGATCAACATGAAATAACGCCAAAAATCATTCCAGCTTAAAACTCAGAGAAGCCGCGTACTTTTACATGTTATGTTAGTTTTCCATCCCCAGATGCAAAAACGCAATTAATTTTTGAACTTCAAAACTCATTCGAGATTTTTGCGCTGTTGAACTTTGCAAGACATAAACATAAACGCATAAACTCACAAATGAGTATTGAGTTTTTAAGTTTTTCCGAACACTGAGTATGACAGTTTCAGAAAGCTAACTTGTTAATGTCTAATTCATTGTTTGACTAACGGTTTCCCAAAATCACCAGATGAAAATTTGATGTCTTGAGATTACTCCCGGAGTTTTGTTAAGACTTTCTTGGAATTATCCCCGCAACTTTCTTCCATCTTTCCACGGAAGCTTTATTTAGAATGGTTTTAACGGCTTTCTCAGGAAGGTTCATTTGACTTCTTCTGGAACCTAGGAAGGTGACAAACAATTCACGGACCGCTAGTGTTGGTGAACGATTTGCCATTAATTTTTATGAAAAGTTTACTATTTTGCCATATAAAATGCCCAAACCAATAAAAAAATGCGGACGGATTTGGACAGGTTTGGACCTGTTTCATACAACTGAAATAAGTATGCTGGTGACAAATGCCTTGTCAAATTGATTTCCAACGCAAGTGATGTGAATTTCGCAATTAAACACGAGGAGCATTTCTTATAACAAAACTTGCCATACGAAATGCTCGTAGTTCATTTTAGTAAACAAACTAACACCGTCATTTCTATTTGTGCCACCTTTCAATCCATCTATCTAGCCCAGAAGTAGTGCTCATCTGGAAGACCTGGTTACTCATAAATTTTAGATATTTTCACCTGCACACTTCCAGCGTCCCTTTCAAGAGCACAATTGGGTTCTTTATTTTCGAAAAATTTATCGGTGTTTATAGATCATCTGAAAGAGCTTCGATTTCTGAGCACAGCGATATTTTGTTCGTCCAGATTTACATCCATGTCGATTTTTAAATCAAGATTAAAAGCAAAATAATCACTTCACTGTTTGACACAAACCTAACAAAATGACAGCTCGCTCTCATACAAAGTACTTCCAAGGACCGCTTAGGTGGTGATTTTTCCTAATTTAATCACACTCAGTGTTGGGAAAATATCATAAAATAAAATCTCACCAATGCCCAAGATCACGCTTGATTTTCGTAGACAAAAATCAACAAGTTAACAACTGCGACTGATTTTGCAAGCTGCGATATCGCAGCTCGGAATATCAAGCTAACAAAACTCACCAGCTGCAAATCTCACCAAACTGTGGTGAGATTGAGTTTCATGATTTTTGCTTTACACCCGAACGCAACCGAAACTTCCATAACGGGTGGTAGCAGTCACTTCGTTTTTGCCATCGGTTACTTTCTCTTACTAAGAGAACGATATGTAACGGAATCATTTCTGTGTCGAGTCAACTCTCAGCTTGATTTTTGCACGTTGTGAATAGTCTCGCAATATCAAAGGAGCTTGTAAAATCAATATCAAGCATGATATTTTGTTCGAATAACACGCGTGATATTGAGGGCATTTGTGAGTGGAAAAATATCATTTGATTCATGATTTTGCCAACACTGATCACACTTAATTAAAATAGTTTCGGTACTCCAAAATTGATGAAATTTTGGATATCGTTTCCATTTGTAATGCAGATTACGAAAATGTAATAGCCTCAATACCCCTAAAGAACCCAATTGTAATATACCCAATTACCCAATACCCAATTTTCCATTAATTGTTCACAGAGGACACTGCACTGCACGGTATCTCTATATACACACAAAGATATACCTAATCTTACACGTTACGGAATCCATCTTTGAAATACAGGATGAGACGTAAACAAATATGTCATGTAAAATTAAGTTCTCCAAGACTGAAAAGTTCGAACGTACGTTTGATTGAGCTGATTTCCACGTCTATTATGACTTAATTTTAT